GAACTCCTGAGCTCAAACAATCTGCCCGCCTCGGCCTCCTAGAGAGCTAGGATTACAGGCGTGAGCCACTGCGCCCAGCCTGGACTAGATAATCTTGAGAGTTCTTTTCCTTATAAGAGAATTCCCATCAATAATAGATTTTTATTTCTTAAAAATATTTTATCCTGGATATGATCAAATATATACAGTTGTAAAATGAACTGTTTGATCATATCCAGGAAGAGTTAAATGAAGTGTTACCCAGCTTCATTATTTATCATTATATAGGCAATCTTGTTTATACTCAATACACATCTCCCCTCCCAACCCAGGATATTTTGAGGCCAATTTCACACATAGTTCATCTACAAATGTTTCAGTATATCTCAAAGAACCTTTGTTTTTGCTTCTTCAGATATATATTTCTATAAAATGTTCTTGGGCAAAAAAGTTTTCACGTGTAATTTTTAGTGTTACCAATTTGAGCATTAATATTTACTTTTCTTCCTACTAGGGACTGGTTTGGCTAAAAGACAAAGAAGCAACACATTGTAAACTTTGCGAAAAGGAATTTTCACTCTCTAAGAGAAAGGTAAGGGAGCCAGGAAGTTGAGTCCAAAAATTTTGGTGCAAAATGCTTCCAGTTGTGTTTATTCATAGATTTTTTTTCTCTTTTAATAGCACCACTGTAGAAACTGCGGGGAAATTTTCTGTAATGCCTGCTCCGACAATGAACTGCCTTTGCCTTCCTCACCAAAACCAGTACGAGTCTGTGATTCCTGTCATGCATTGCTCATTCAGAGATGCTCATCTAACTTGCCATAAGGCTCCAGAACTAAATCTTTATGATTAAAGTACTTACAATGAATGTTAAGTATGATATGTATGTATACAAGATATCCAGACAGCCCTTCTTAAGCAGCTTTCAGTCAGTATTGGTACCAGTTTATTTTCCACATACTCAACTCACGGTAATTAGTTGTGATTTGGTATTTCCTTCCTCATTGTTATTCAAGAAGAATTTAGCAGAGCATGCTTAAAAATAATGTTAGCCTAATTTTTAATTGATGTAATAATCATCAACACTTAATTCCACTGAAAGGCCAGATAGCATAGCTAACACACATTTGCCTTATCTTGTAAAGGCCTTCTTAAAAATAAGGCTTCAGATTGTTCTATTCTTCCAAATTCTGTCAAGCGGATATTTGATGGTGCCTGAAATTCTCTTAATGCACTTTAAAGCTTCACAGGTCTCATGGAGACTGGAAATGCATAAAACTTTTTAGAAGTATTAATATTCCAATTTAACAGTTTTCATTATCTTGGTAAGATTTCAGTTTAACTATTTATTTGCCCCTTCTTCTTCCCCTTTCCCTCTTTTGCATTAGAAAGGACCAATATTTTGTCCTAAAAAATTTTCTTTTTAGTCTTTTCAAAATTATTATGCTTGCCGATACCTTTCAGATAGTGGACTTAAAGGGGCATTATTTGGCCTCACCGTTTTTTCTTCTAATCTTGAAAGAAGTTACATGTATATATATTTTTACCTTAAGTTAGTTACTTGCAGATCTTCTTACATACTACCTATCTCACTGAATTGCTGTTATTTAAGGTGGCTCAGACAGCCCTTCTTAAGCAGCTGTTTAAGACCCCCCAGTTCAAAAATGAAAACGAGAATCTCTCCCCTGAAAAAAATAAGTATAAAAGCAGGATTACAGGCTCCTTATAGAGTCCCTTCTCTAAGCGTTACAAATGAGGAAAAAATTAAAACTTTGCCTTTTACATTATGTAAGTTTGATTAGTTCAAGGAATTCTGTATTATGTTGCCATTGGAGTAACTTTCAGGAAGCATTACATTGCAGTGGTCTACCACTGCATTTATATGCCCACAGTAAAATTACACCCGTCTACTCATCACCTCTATGCCAGGGTATTGAGCAGATGAAAACAGTCTCTGTCCTACCGTGAAATATATATTTGAACTATTTCAAGCTGACTCAACGAACACTAATCCAGTTATACTGTTTATAGCATACTAAGAATCTAATCTGCAAAAATTAAGTTACCTCTATATAAACAGCATCACATTATCTTTTTAATTTTTTAGCCATGCACTTTGTTTGTGAGCCTATCATCAAAAATATATAGGAATTTTACATTACTTGGAAGCATTACATTTTGTGATTTATCAGAACTTTCCTCCCCTCCCCCAAGATGGAGTTACTCCACAGGATCTCTCCTCATGAATATATACTGTCATTCAGATTTAAAATTATTAAATTTTCTAATTGCCAAAGCATGAGACTAGTATTTTACCTGAAGATCTATCATCTCCAGAACCCATAAATTTTCAGCTTTTGAGGTCAACTTCAGCTAGGATCTTAACATATTTTTAGATGGTCTTTCTTTTGAATACTGATAGAAATGTCCTCAAGAAGGAATTATATTCTTGAACGAACCATTTTGTATTGATGGGATAGATTAACATTTTTATGACTGCTGAAAATGAGAAGCATAAATGAAAAATTTCAAATAGGTGTTTTTTATTACTGTGCTTGAACAAATTTTAAAGTAACTTAAATTCCAAGAATGATTTCATTGAACAAATAAACCATGATTTCTAGTCACCCTTTAAATTTTTTGCCATTCAAAACATGTCTCACCATTCATTTGGGCTTTTATTTTTTAAAGGCGGCTTTTATGAATACAACTTGCTTCATTTATTTTTGGCTCAAAAACCATTTATACTAACTTTGAGTTTTTCCTTTTACAAAACGTTCACAATTTGTGATTACGAACCTTTTACTTTTCAAAAGATTTCATACACCATTCCTTCACCTAGCAGTACTACAATAATGCTATCATGGTGCCAAGGAATTGCAATTGTAATTCTTCTATCCTGTAATGTTTTAAAAATAAAATGTGAATTTTATAAACCAAATAAAGATTTGAAAAACTAGCCTGCTTAAAAAGGGCAACTTTCATTTCTAACATTTTATACTTTTACTGTTTAAAGATTTTAAGGGGAAAATAAAAGCACATGTGACTTTCAAAAGACAGGTGCTGTAAGCCCTGATATTAAGTAGCTACTGCAAGGAAGTGACCACAAGTATTAAGATGAATCACTGCTTGAGTCAAGTGGCTCCAGGCCAGGAGTTCAAGGGCAGCCAGTGCTACACAGCAAGACCCTGTTGATGTGGGCTTGTAGTCCCAGCTATTTGGGAGATCGAGGCAAGGATCACTTGAGCACAGGAGTTTGAGGTTGCAGTGAGCTATGACACCACCACTATGCTCTAGCCCAGGCAACAGAGCAAGACTGTCTCAAAACAAACCAAAGAACTTCCAAATATACAGGCTGTCACAGCTCCCCCTTCTAACAGCAGAAATCACTCCTTAGGAGTCATTTTTCTAAATCTTCAATTAGACATCATATACAGTACTTTCTACCAATTTGATACAGTAACCGACACAAAGCATTCTAGGACAGACACCATACTATTATCTCCCACATTGACATTTATTACATTAATAACATTTCTAGCAAAAAAACAATAACAAGTTCAGTAACTGAATTCACATTGACAGGTTTCATTTTGATCCATTAGCCAATTTGGAAAAAGCCATATTGATGAACGGGATTAAAACTAAAAAAAAGCACCTTTTCCTTGCTACATATAGTATTTTTAACTAAAACTCCAAGCAGATTATCAGATGCAAAAACCCAACTGCAGATTCTTATTTTAATTGATTATAACATGGACTTGTCTTACATTTCTTTAAAGTAGTCATTTACAGTTATTTTAAAATCATATGCTCCATTGGGCAGGAAACTGAAAATACATCTGTGAAAATTATACTCCATAGTAAATACCTATGTACTTATACTGAATTCTCATGTCACTGAGAACCTTAACCTACTCTAAGACACCTTGAGATAACTTACAACTATCAATTTTCTGGAAACATTTTTGGTACTTCACTTGGTCAAGTGGTGAGGGGATTTTACTCCAAAATCTAGGGTTAGAATTTAGAACTTCCAATGCTCCCATCCCCCGGTTACACAATTATGAATACTCAGAAACCCAGATACCTCTTATACCATCATTTCAGAGCTAAGCCTGATAAATTACGTTGAGAAAGAATAACATGGAACTATTTAGCTGAATTTATACTCCTAAAGATACCTCATCTTTAGGCTTTATATTTACAGTGTTGTCCAGGAGAAATTAACAAAAAAAGTTACACTAATTATATTTGTGAAGCTCTATTCCAGATGTCTACTTAAGACTTGCAGTTTATGCAGAAGTGAACCATTATCCTCTAAAATTACACCATTCTACTTCTTACAGAGCTAATAAAATACACCAACCCAAATCTTGTGAAGGCAGCACATCTTTAGGAGTAACTAGTATATAAAAAGTATCAACATCAGTGGTTTGAATATAAAAATTTATTTTTAAGTCAAAGTATGCAACAAATAAAACCTACAGAAAACAGATTTCCCCATCACAATCTGTTGCTTTACCAAATAATATTTTGAAAACACATTCCTTCAGTCATTATAAAGTTCTTAAAATACAAAAGAAATTAAATCTGTAAGAAAGTCTAGTAGACCAGATGCTGTTGTCAGGACTTGTGTGTTGGTTATGCTTTCAGTACATCCCACGCCATCCACCTCCACTCATGCCGCCTTGCCCATAGTAACCTCCACTGCCTCCACCACCGCGGCCTTAAGAAAAAATGACATTAAGAATCACTTAGCACAAGACATTCACGCGTGAGATGTTAAAAGTATTGTGCATTTTTAATTGTACTATATATGGGGACTAACACAAACCGAACCAGAGACACTTACCATAACCACCCAAGCCATCAGGAGTACCATATCCTCCACTGTAATTGTTCCCCATTCCCATTCTTCCAACAGATCCATAACCTCCCTGATTATCTTTTGGGGAAAAAAAAAAAGTTTGAGATGGATTGCTAAGTAGCTAACTCCGCTTATCTTAAAAACTTTACATACCCATTCCATCTCTTCCGTAGCCTCCCATTCCCGAACCGCCCATTCCAGAGCCGCCTCCAGGAGTAGAATTCAAGAAGAGTTCAATGTATCGATGTTCTTTAAGAAAAAATCAAGAGTAATAGGGGAGAAAGGAATAAGGGATAATTTTATATCAACAAAAGCCTTAAAAGGTTGATTGGCTAATATGAAAGTAAATATTAAATATCAATTCCTAGTGTGGTGATAAAAAAGCCCAGAGGAACCATTAAAATCTGAACTTTATATGGCCAATGGCTGCCGAGAGTAACCTACAGAACCTAAGGACCTCTTACATTTATTTAAACAAATGAGAAAATTTATTTTACATGTAAGTTCACATCTAGGAAATGATAGCATGCCAAGAATACCACTTACGCATGTTATTTTTATCTTTAGACATGGCAGCCACAGCATCTTCATGTGTTACAAACTCTACATCTGCTTCTCCTGTTGCTCTGCCATCAGCTCCAATATCAATATGAACTCGTATTGGATTTAGTGGTGAGAAGAACTAAATGAAAGAAAACACTTATTTCTTGTCTGTTCAGATTATTGCAAAGAATTTAACCACTTTTAAAATAAGCAAGGTGGTAATAAATTTTGAAAGAATAATATATCTAATCTAAAAAATAATTTATTGTAAACAGATGAAAAGTCTCAAACCCTATGACCTGAGATGGAACAAAGCCCCATCCCCAATCCTGCCTTCCAAGAAATGTACTTCAAAATTGCTATCTGAGACGTAATGGGTTCCCTGAAACTCAGAAACTATGGATAGAGAAATAGGGTATATGATGATTCAGAACAATGGGGTTTGATAAACCTGCAAACTGTACATACAGTTCTAATCACAAGTTAACCAGGTTTAAGCTATCCCTAAAGGCACTTGGAACTTACACCAATTGGTTCCCAGTAAGATCTACAGCAAGCTTTTGCTTTAAGACCCATATAGCATTTTTGGCTTTGTTTACCACTGGGTCTCTAACGCATCTAACTGAATAAACAAATTGGTAAGTATGACTGCATGTAGCCCA